TTTGCAGCAACGGTTTCCCAGGTCTCAGGGTCGATGTTGGCCTGTGTCAGGGATATCTTTAACTGATGCTTGTAGCGTCGTTTTGGTCCTCCGGGTAGCCTCTTGCCGCTGGCAAGTTCTCTAAACAGGATGATATGTGAAAGTCGACTGATATTGACTTAGTCTTTACTAATACAACTAATATATCTTGACGGTATGTCGCCCGGATTTCTAAGAGACATGCAATCTTTTAAAATGTCTTTAGTTATTTAAATATCCACTGACCAGCAATATTGCTTTATTTTCTGCAAGTTATGAAGCCTATTAACATTGTCCTAATCACTACAAATCAAGATCCGTAAACGAATCAGCAATATTATCGGTCCTAATCTGGCAGCTTGGCTTCAGTCACTTTCCCATCGCCGTAAGATAGTCTCTTTGTGTCGTTTCTATAAATAGTTTCATAGTAATTGTTTCAATTCGTTGTGGTACCTAGACTTTTTGAACTTAAGCGCAGTACTAGACTGGCGTCGAGATTTCATCGATTTACAGTTGACTTGGCCGCAAGTTCTATGCTAACAGTTTCTTTTTTTCCACTTCTCATTTGTGAAACTTCCTCCCAGTCCCATACTTTCCAGTCAACTTTAATCTGTAAAAGTTTAAATGCAATGTCAATCGCTATCTACTGTTCTCCTGATTACTCTTTTCTCTGCCCGTTTATTATCGATGCTTCTGTTCCTAATTCTTCCACACCCTGTAATCCCCTGTGTCTTAGTGGCTTTATTGCCTTGCATAGGGTGATACCGATTAAAAAAGTATACTGATTAATCTTTTGATACCAACTATAATTTCGTAGATATTTTTTTCTGTTTACTATAAGGTTGAAATAGGTTGCATGTGTGGGTGACAAGTATTTAATCATTTTCAATTTTTACAATTTGGAGCCTCAATCTGTACGATATGCACCTAACGTAAGTGGAATCGGCGTGTCGAGTCCAAATTCTGGTCAAGTTTGTTGCGTTCACTTTCATACCCTCGGGAAAAATGTTAATCCATTTCATTCTAATCCCGTGAGTAAAATATCAGCGCAGACTGAGCTCTTTTGCATTGGTTGGCAACCAGTCTAGGAAAAGAACGCTTCTGAATTCAAAACCAGTTGGGTTTCACATCTCCACCCAGTAAATCATAGAACCAACACCTACTGTAGTGAAGCTGTAGCTTTATACACGACATGGGAGTTTTGTAGGATTACCCCCCTGTGGCTTTGAATAACGTTCTGTCCGATTTTATTTTAATACCACGCTCTCTTTCACTTCAACCAAATAAGCGACAACAGATTCCTTTTCTACAACACACGTGATATTTAAGTATTTTATCCTTTCAGAAACATCAACTGAAGATTGTGTTTGAACATCAAACCACTGCAAACGATGAAGTTCTCTTCTCTCCTTTATTTGCTGAATAAACATATATTTATTGTTAATTTGATTAAAATCCATGACATGTTCTTTTTTTTACCCGTACTCACATGAATTTCTCAAAATATTGTTGAGCTGACAGACGATAACAGAAACCATAAAAGTAACCATTTGTCACCTTACGCAACTTTCTAATTCCCCTAAGAAGCAGGTGGATGAGGAAAAGGATGAGGCGGAAGAGCAGGAAAGAGAGGAGGAGGAGGAGGCGGAAGAAGAGGAGGAAGAGCGGAAGAAGGAGAGGGACGAAGATCGGGATGAGGAAGAACAGTTGGAGGAGGAGGATGAAGAATGGAGAGTGAACTACATGTGACAACTATACTTCCGTAGATTTGTATTAATCCTTATCAACTTTTTGAAATAGATCCCCAATGAGGATAAAAATTGCTGTTCAGTAATGACTTCTTAGCTCACCTATCTTTTTAATTATTCCTGCACACGTTTCTCAATTTCTCATCTAAATACACAGCATCATGCAGACTGGTTTTTGAACTGGTTGACGGTGGTTAATTTCTTTACTTCGGGACCTTTTTCACTCCACAGTGTTGTAAACAATCCATTTTTCATCGCCTATGATCGATTTTCGCAATTTGAAAGCGTCAAACATTTATAAAACAAATCCGAATCTAAGAATTTCAAATCAAAAGAGAGCATCCCGAATGAGGAAACGATTTAGTGTAACGGTTAGCAGCATAGAAAATCAGCGAAATGGGTTCAAATTCAGTCTGAGGTAGTTTCACTTCATTGTGGATTAATCTTTTTGCAAGAGGCTTAAATTCACTTTTTCTCATTAATTCATGCCAAATCTTAAATCCTACTACTGGTACTATGTAATTTGATACTTGCAAGACATATTAGAGGCAGAGAGGGAAGAGGAAAGGAGTGACTAATCCCTGCCTAACGAGCTTGTTGGCAGAACAGGGATAAGGAGAGATAGCGAAAAGACAAAATTTACTAAGAGCGACAGAGGAAAGGAAATTGTGGAGAGCCATGAACGCCCAAGTCCTGAATGGCCATGGCGCATAGAAGAATAAGAATGAGCATGTGCAAATGTTTGACAGATCAGGGATAAGGAGAGATAGTGAAAAGAAAACATTTACTAAGAGCTACAAAGTCAGGAAACTGTGGAGAGCTATGATCGTCCACGTCCTGAAGGGACACTGCACGTAGAAGAAGGATAGAGATTTCACATAAAAACTCTTTTTTTAAAAGGTTTTGTTTCCCTCAATTAATAAAAAGCTGAAAGAAATTACAGTGTAACCCGGATATAAGAGAGTTGTCGGGACCGCAGTAGTCTCTTATATCCGGGTTTCTCTTATATCCGGGTTTGGTCTATTTTATATACATCAACACAGGCTCTAATTTGGGACCAGAGAAAATCTCTCTTATATCCGGGTTTCTCTTATATCCGGGTCTCTTATATCCGGGTTACACTGTAAAATGGAATAATTCAAATTGACACTGAAACAAAAACGCGATGAATAAAAAATGACGTATAAAAAATCCCGTCATAAATTTGTTAAGTAAAAAAAACGTTTTGTATTTTTTTCTAGTTTTATTTGTCAATTTCCATTTGGTAAATGGGTGAAGAATTTAATATCCAAAGAATCTCTACCGATTAAGAAACTATGATTCTCAACAATAAAAGCAAGACGTTTTTTTTGTTTTTGTTTTTATTTTTCAAGAGACTGTCTCACATTCCCTGCCATAAAAATTGATTTTATGGCGAATCAGCCTTCACTTCACTGATCTTGTATTTTGATCTTAGCAACTGGGACGAAATTAAGCAGCTTATGTGTTTCATTGAATCAATGTGAAACTTAGACGCAGACATTTAAAATTAGATAAAAGATCATTTAAGAATTATTTCCGTCTAGAATTTCTGACGACATTATGAAATAACTACGGAAATATATGAGAAAAAATGTATATTTTCCTGTTCATTGTATCTCTTATAGATCCTTCAATCTATACATTGAGCAAATGATACTGATTAGATTTAGTTAAGCAAACCTCTATCGGGTCATAACTGATTGAGTGATTCTTCTGATTTCAAAGTAATCGGTTGGAACAAACATCCGTAGTGTTTTTCAATACGTGGCACTTGAACACATGATTTAAATTCACACGTGACAAAAATGTATGACATTAAAATCCATTGACTTCCGGCCGACCGTCGCACCCTCTGAAATCGCCATACATTGACCGATCGAAACGAAATTTTGGGGAGAAGTGCAAACGGGTGGGGAGGATTAAAAATAATTCTGGTCACAAAACACAGGACATCGCAGAGATAACTTACATATCTCATTATGCGCCTTGTAAGTTATTTGGAATACGTACCTTATGCTTTAACGGGGAAAAATAATGGGCTGCATTTCCATCTGCTATTGTCTGGCGAAACGGAATAAAAACCACCCATCTTTGAAAAGAAGGATTATAGGCGATGAAAAATGAATTGTTTACAATACTGTGGAGCGAAAAAGTCCGGAAAAAAAATCTATATACAAATATCTAAATATTGCCTTTGAAATTAAAAATGCTATGAACTTTTGTTCCGACCCAAAATAACGAAGAGTAGAAGAAAAAGAAGAGTTACAAAATGTTAATGGGCAGATAGAATGAGAAATATATAGAGAAATGCATTGGAGAAAGAGAGATTGAAAGGTAAGAGAGAGGGAAAGATTGAAAGGGGGAAAGGTAAGAGAGAGAGAGAGAGAGAGAGATCGAAAGTCAAGAGACAGAAAGGTAAGAGAGAGAAAGTCAAGAGACAGAAAGGTAAGAGAGACAGAAAGGTAAGAGAGACAGAAAGGTAAGAGAGAGAGAGATCGAAAGTCAAGAGACAGAATGAAAGGTAAGGGAAAGAGAGTGAGATTGAAAGGTAAAATCAAGGGAGAGAGAGAGAGAGTGAAAGGTAAAGGAAAGAGAGAGAGATTGAAAGGTAAAATCGGGGGAGGGAGAGATTGAAAGGTAAAGGAAAGAGAGAGAGAGAGGTTGAAAGGTAAGAGAAGAAAGATTGAAAGGTACGAGAGGGGGAAAGATCACACGCGAAGAGAGAGGAAAAGATTGAAAGGTAAGAGAGAGGGAAAGATTGAAAGGTAAGAGAGAGCGAGAGAGCGAGATTGAAAGGAAAGAAAAAGAGAGAGTGATTGGAAGGAAAGAGAAAGAGAGAGAGAGATTGAAAGGTAAGAGAGAGAGAGATATTGAAAGGTAAGAGAGAGAGAGTGAGAGAGATTGAAAGTCAAAAGAAAGAGAATGAAAGGTAAGGGAAAGAGAGGGGGGTTGAAAGGTAAAATCGGGGAGAAAGAGATTGAAAGCCAAGAGAGAGAGAATGAAAGGCAAGAGAGAGAGAATGAAAGGTAAGGGAAAGAGAAAGGGGTTGAAAGGTAAGAGAAGAAGAGAGAGAGAAAGATTGAAAGATAAGAGAGAGAAATTGAAAGGAAAGAGAAAGAGACAGAGATTGAAAGGTAAGAGAGAGAGAGAGAGATCGAAAGTCAAGAGACAGAATGAAAGGTAAGGGGAAGATATTGAGATTGAAAGGTAAAATCAAGGGAGAGAGAGATTGAAAGGTAAAGGAAAGAGAGAGAGAGATTGAAAGGTAAAATCGGGGGAGGGAGAGATTGAAAGGTAAAGGAAAGAGAGAGAGAGGGGTTGAAAGGTAAGAGAAGAAAGATTGAAAGGTACGAGAGGGGGAAAGATTGAAAGGTAAGAGAGATAGATTGAAAAGTGAGGGAGAGAAAGATTAAAGGGTGAGAGAGAGAGAGAGAGAATACAGGAAAGTGAGGCTGATAAAAAAGAAAAGAAAAGAATAGCGAAATGATTGTCTTAATACTGTATGTAATTTGATCCTCATTGTATGTGTGCGTATGTCTCGATAGACAGACAAACAGACAGACAGACAGAAGGGATAGAGAATAAGAAAAAACCCTAAATATTATTTATCGAGAAAATAAAAGATCGTTAAAGGCGATGATGGTGTGTGTGTTTGTACAATGTCTAACTGAATCCGAAACAAAAGTGAAGACGATGAGACAAAATGGAAAATGTTATTAACGACGCGTTTCGCCGGAGAAGCGTCTTCTCTGTTTGGCTTCTTCAGCTTAGAATGAAAGAATGACAAAACTGTGTGTGAGGGAAATGCCTTGGGATCTCTGAGTATAAGTGGGTATCCTAAATCGAATTAATTACCCTAGCTTATCACCTACTGATGTCTAGTCATCGGGAGTGTTTGACTGTTGTTTTAGTTTAGCGACATATCAACTTATTTAATGCAGAAATCTAAATATTTTGTACGCAATATATATATTTATATATATATATATTTTTTGCAAGTATTACCAAGCGGTCACCCATCAAGGTACTGACCATGCTCGAAGTTGCTTAATTTCGGTGATCGTACGGGAACCAGTGTTTTAACGTGATGTGGCCGTAACTCGCCTGTCTTTTCGGTTATTTTATCTATATCTGTATTAGAGCCGTTTGGTAGAAAGATGTTTTTCTTGTCCTCGTCCCTTTTTCACATTTGAAACTAATCTCTGTTTGCAGAAGATTTAGATAAAAACATGGACAGGCAATGGAGATTAAAAGGTGAAATTGATAAAGGATAAAATTGTGAAGATACAGCAAAAGTGGGGAGGGTGATGATTAATCTTCGTCGGTCAACAAGCTTTAAATTTCTACGCGTTTCCGTTTCTACTACAAGAACCTTGTTAGGCTTTATGTAAAATTTAAACCTAGATATCTGGAAGGCATTAGGGAAAGAACGAGAAGAAATAGTTCTACAGGTCCTTCTAATTATTATTTTATTTCAAATGTCTATGCAGCATTTTTTCCAAATATCTGGACAATTCTAGTATAACTTTGAATCTGATAGTTTTTTGTATTTTTTTTTTTTTTGTGGATCGTTAAAATGATTTATGAACGATGTTTTCTTATTTTTTTAAAAAATGTGGAGAATTATTTTTCTCTTTTTGAATTCGAAAATATTTTTAGGGGCGATAATTTGAACTTAAAACTATGCAGCCTACTATCGCAAAACTTAATAAGTGGACTCGACTACAAACAGCAACACTTTTAGTTTGAGACACAAGGTTTTTAGTTTTGCGAAAAATATGGCTTTTTTAGGCAATCAATTGATGAATCATAACGAGGCTAAATAAAATACCGTAATGACAATTTTGTAAAATTAAAAATATACATTTATGATTTATATTTTTTTAGGTTAAATATATACCATACTTTTTTGATTTGTTCATCAGATTATTTTCTCGAAGATTAGTTGAACTAACAAATTAGGCGTTTGTTTTAGAATTCTATATCTCCGGTGTCTCGAAATACATTAAATAAATTTTGGCCAATCAAAACATGATGCATAGAAATCCAAGTAGATTTCCTCTCTTTTTCTCTTTATCACTCTTTCCTCTCTTTCTTCCTCTATCCCCACTCGCTCAATTAGATATCACTATCTCCATTATCTTAGACATTATTTTACTGTCGTAACGCCGGGCACAAGGCGGCATTTTTCCCCTGGTATTTAAATTGCAAACAAAAAGATTTTTTACAGTCTTATCTTTCCGAAATGTAAATAGAAGCTGATTCTTTGCCTCTTCGGTCAAAAACGAAAAATCTGTGTGCTTGAGATCACCATGGCAACTGTAACCTGTCGGGAAGGAGGTGAGGCAATGTGAAGCCATTTAAGGCGAATTCTCGCCTGGATCAGTTTCCAGCGGGAGAATAACACCAGCGAGATTTGATACTATAGTTATCTGGGCTCTACGGTGCGCGCATGCGAGTAAGGAGCGAGGGAGCAGTTAGATGAGGGGCGGGCAGCCGCCTGCCGACACGGGGAATATGCAGTAAGACTTCGTTGACGTCACAGCCTCGTATTAATTACATAAACAATTTTGAAACATGCAGAAAAAAGACAAACACATTCTTTCAATACATATTAATGGCAGTCATTCCACTGTCCAGATTGCAAACAGGGGAATCCCGGTTCTCTGACAGGGCTCATCTTTTTTTTATCATTTCGCCCCAAGCAAGGCAATAAAGCCACTAAAACGCAAGGGGCTACTGAGTGTGTGATAATATAAGAAAAAGGAAAAACCACCAAGGAGACAGAACCCTTAAAATAAGAGGAACTAAGAATACAGAAGACAACGATTAACAGTGCAGTTTTTTTTGTTTTTTGTTTTTTAAACTGGAAAGCAAGAATCTGCAAGATAGTCCGACAAGCGAGAATTGTGAGAGAAGATATCATCCGATAAAGACTTATATTTTCAGGTAATATATCTCTCCCGGATAGAGATTGGGGTCATTATCTGGCATCTGGGGTGAACCCAAAAGATAAAGAGAGCTTGATCAATTTTTGTCTTTAGTCCATATACGTCCTCCCCTTAAATCTAGGCCTTGTGTCACATTCCGTTCGAGTAGACGAACGGATAATTATTTATATTTTCACTCAAAGACTTTTATGGGGTGATATGATATATAAACTCTCTCTCTCTCTCTCTCTATATATATATATATATATATATATATATATAGGCTAATGGTGATCAATTGAATGAAAAAATGGAGAAAAAACTTATGTGATGCGTTTCGTTTTTAAAAAGTAGTTCTTCAGGCTAAATAATGTTTTTTTATATATATATATATATATATATATATATATATATATATATATATAATAAAGAGAGAGAAAGAGAGTGAGGGGGGAATTTAATCCGAATAAACATCGCTTATAATGAGAGAAATACTAGGAACGTCATTATACATATTTTACAGGCGAAAAGAAAGTGCAAGAGACTTAAAGAAAGGACACGTTGTTTGAGTTGTCAATGGGTCTTTCAGTCTCGAGTCTTTTGGTCTCGATTCTTTCGGTCTCAAGTCTTTCGGTCTTGAGTCTTTTAGTCTCGAGTCTTTTTGGTCACCTTTTTGAGGAAAGGGAGTCGCTTGGCATTGATCTATGTAAATGACATTTTTTAGTCTACTGAGTACGAACTGTTGCAAAATCACTTATTCATTTCTTTTCAGTACGTGCAAGCTAGACGTTTTTTTTTAAATTTCTTCAAATTAACAGAGATTGATTAAAGAGTATTTGTTTTTTATTACATAATTTGTTTTTCATTACGTCACCGCTAGAAGAATTTGCAACAGACGAGAAAGAAAGAAGTTTTAAGAAGAAATTAAAATAGATTAAAAAGAAAGAAAAGTTTTGAGAAAATATGTCGTAGAATTAGACATCAGTCTGATATAGAGAAATGCCATACATTTTGTAAACATCATGTTTTACAAGAGAAAAGGACGCGTATAAATGTATGAAGTTAAAGAAGTTGTCATGTAACTTTAATTATCAGTCAGTCTTTTGATCTCTATCCGCTTCACTTTCCTACTTTGTGAAACGCAGTTGTAGATTTATGCAGATGAGCTGGCATTTTGAATTGACTATTACCTATTGCAAAGTTTCGTATATATCTATTGAATACATACACTTTTTAAAGTTTTAGAATTTACTCAAACCAATAGGTGCTAGTTTTAAAATTTTCTTGTTATAACTCATATTTTTCACAAGGCCAATTTTTAATTTAATTTTATATTTTATTTTTTATGGCTTTTTCTTCCACTCTCCAATATTGATCCTCTTTTTGTAAAACTTTTTGACATACTTTTGAAATCTTTACACGCTATTTTAATTATTAAATTTTAAATCTGACTACAGTTCGAAGCAGCTAGAGATCGAAAGACACTGCAACAATTGAAGCCAGATAGCTGCTTCTCTTCGTCAATACTCTTGTACTTCCTTTGCACCTGTAAACTGTGAATCAAGACATTTACTATAATATATCAATTTTACATTATGCATATATCCAGTTCTTTGAAAATTGCAAATATTAAGACTGTTTCTGGTAATAAGATGTATTCACAGCACATATTTAAATACAAAAATTTGTAAAACTGTAACTAAAATTGGAGTTTTAAATTCTACCATAATTATTGAAAGTTTATTTACTATGTTAATTGTGACCGTGACTAATTACCAATGCTAATTTTTAAAAAGCTTAATATATATTTAAAAATAGATTCCATCTTCATAGTTGTGCTTACTGCAGGTTTCACGAAATAATTAATTAAAATACAGGTAGATCACCGATTATTCATTGGTTCAAGAATCGTACCTGGTTATACTGTCTTGACGCACCAGCAGAAGTCACATAAGAACAATCTCATAATGCAATTCTAGACTTACAAATTATGCATCTCATTTAAGTCTAGAGGATCATTGACTTTTAGAAAGTTATATCAAATTATTATTATTATTATTATTATTATTATTATTAAGCACATACGATCGCCACTTGTGGCCGCTCAGGGAATTAGTTTAGCAATCCAGTGAAATTTTAAAATGCCAGATTAGCAGTTGCCGGAAAATCGGTGGATCATCTGAAATAAAAAAAAAATGTTTGCAAAAGATGGATCAAAATGGTTAATTAATGAGCTAATTCCGCCCTGTTCTATCAAAAGTCTATTTAAGAACTTCTTGACATTTAAATCTACTCGTGGTGCATAAACTCAGAAAAAATGGTTCAGTTCGATTTTGTTGATAATGATTAACGCTTTACAAGAATCTTGATTTTTTTTTTTTTAATGTTCTTTATTTAATTGAAAGATATCGAGATTCCTTTTCTGACAATCGTCCTGAAATTCTTCCACCATCATCTTCAAATCTCCATGATTATATCTTGACGAAAGGCGACTTCTTGCCTAGCTTCCTATATTGAAATCT